AGGCATCTGTTGCTTCTTGTCATCTGGTCCAAACAGTTACAAACTTAGAGGAATGAGCGGACCAAGATCCGCTTACAGATGTGATACGGGTTGGCTCCTTGGCTTGCTCTTTTCTTTTTTTTTTTGCAGGGCTGCAATCTTGCTAGATTACTCAGCCTTTGGGAGGGAAGCTGGGCCAAGGACAACGTTTGGTGAGAAGAACACAGTGTTTAAAGAACAGGCCCCGCCTCTTTCTCCCTCCCTTCTCCAGGAGACTTGGGATCCAGGGAACTCCCTGGGAGGAGGGAAGGGTGCAGCTGCAAGTAGCAGTTCTCATGGCCCTGCCTCTGTTAGTCACAGGAACCTGGCTGGCAGCTCGCTGACATCTCTCCTGCCACCTTAGTACCAGCCGCCACATCCTGGGCACCAGGCAGGTCAGAGCCAACTTGATGGCCTGGCAAATAAAAAAGCAGCCTGCAGCCCTTTGGTTAACTTCCCAGCGTGCTAGGTAGCTGGTTAGCTGTTTGTGTGCTGGCATACAATGGTCTGGGTTCCTTATGCTGGCTGCTGCGCTCATCAGCTGTGTGACGTTGGATATGCTAGCCAATTGTTCAAAACCTCAGTTTCCTCCTCTGTAAAATGGGGATAATAGCATGGACCCATTGGGTTTCAGTGAGAATTCCACAGGTGATCAAAAGAGTGTTTGCATGTGGCCTATGCATTACCCACAATTAACCTACACCTAGCTTGCCTAGACGCCCTCACCCACCCTTTTTTGTGCCATTCTGTGTGTCCAGATGACATGCTTCTTTAGAAAGATGTGACATTTATTTTTGAACTGAGGTGCTGAGAATGGAAATAACATGAGCTTCACGTGTTCTGCTTTGGTGACAGTTCCAATTATACCATCTAAGGTCATAGTCTCACAGGGCCCCATGCTCAGAAAAGCCCCCGCACTTGAGGTTTAATGCTCTGTGGCTGTTGACTTAAAATCCCTAATGATCCTATCTTTAGAATTTGTTGCGTAAGTGAAACCCAATGGGACAACAGAGCGTGTACTAAGGGCTTGGAGCATTTCTTCATATGGGATCCCATCTCTCCTCAAACTCTCTCCCACCCCACCTCACCAGGATGGCTATTGGCCAGTTGTGCCTTTGTCCCTGTCCTGTAATCAGTGTTACCTAGAGGGGGCCTGGGCACAGGTGCAGGAAGGCTTGGGGCCCCAGGTGCCTGTGAGGGGCTGCAGCTTCCCACAATCATCCCTGTACCAAAGGGAGCACAACATGAAACAGCAAATAAAACACACCATGACTGGCTGAGAGAGAGAGAGAAAGAGACAGTGGAAGAAAGGAAAAGGCTTTCTTCCAGCTTTATGAACAAAGGGACCTTCATTTATTTTGTACTGGACCCTGTACATTATATAGCTGGCCCTGGCTTTATCTGATGGTGCCCAAAACTCAGAAGTGACAGGGTATTAAGCCAATGTCAGGGAGTCCCTACGAGTATAGCCCTTTGGGGTAGGGAAAGGTCAGAGCCTTGCAATACGTATTCCTCTGACCCAGCAACTCTACTTCACCATCAGACATGTGCACAAAGGTGCATGTGCACGAGTAGCCCCCTGGCATCATTTATAGTATGAATCCAGCCGGATGCCCAGCATGAAGGAGGATGAATGCATGACCCAAATCCAGGGGTCAGATGCACTATTACAATCATATTAAAGAAAAGAATTTATTGACATGAGAAAAACTCATAATATTTGCAAAAGGGATAAAAAAAAAGCAGTTACCAAAAGGCCCACACCGCATGACTTCATTGTCATAGATGCATGGAGAATATATGCGTGGGGAAAATACTGAGCTGATTTACGCTCAAGCACTGACAGCTGTTCTCCTCGGGTGGGTGATTTTTTTCCTTTTTGAACATGACTGTGTTTTCCAAGTTCTCTGCATGGAGCACGCATCCCTTTTATCATTGCATAGAGTCACGACAGTGCAGAGAGCAAGGTTAAGCCAGCAGAATGTGGGGCCAACGGCCTGTATTCAAAGCCCAGCTCTGCTCTTTATAAGCTCTGTGACGTTGGGCAAGTGATTTAACTTCTCTCGACCTCAGTTTCCACAATTGCTAACAGGAAAATTACTAGTACCTCCTTCAAAGGGTCAAAGAGATTAAATGAGTTACCATGTGCAGGGAGCTTAGAGCAGTTGAGCACAGAGTGAGTTATACATAAGTGTTATTATAGTACGCAAGAGGGAAATATGAAGAGAAAACAACACTGACTATTATTTTTGGATAGTGCAAAAGCAGGTGGTTTATCATTTCTTTTGGATTTTTTTTTTTGTATTTCTCAAGTGAAGACACATGACTTTCATAATTTGAGATAAAATGTTAATTAAGAAAAGAAAGTGAAGGGGTGGTTCACGAAGAAGTATTGAGGAAAACAGGATGAAGTCAGGTTAGCAAAGTCTGCATGTTTTTCAGGGCAAGGTCACCTGTGGATTCCTGAGCCTGTGCCAGGCCCTTATTGCAGGCTTCACCCCAAGACTGTGCATCTTCTCATTCATAAAGAACCCAGCACCTGGGAGATAGATATCAATGCCAAGCGATAGGCTCTTAAAACATCTTTATCTAAATCTAGATAGATTAGAAAGATATAGATATATCCCTATATACAGATATATTCCATATTTATATTTATCTATTGCTAGAGAATCTTTATAACTATAAAAAAAATGCAGCTCACCCAAGCACTCTGAATATCATTCTAACACAAGACCAACCATAATTTGCTCATTTCCTTCTTTGCCTCCTTCCCTAAGATCCCTGAAAGGGTCTTCTTTCTATCCCTGGAAGCTACCACAGTGCCTGACAGATAGCAGGAATTCCCTAAAAGTCTGTTGACTTAATTAATAAATGACAGAGTGCATGAATTTGTTCAATAGCAGAAATTTGTGTGTTAAGATACAGGCATAGAGTAAGATGTGGGATTTGCTTTGTTTGGGGTCAAGGAAGGGTCAAAGATGGGCAAGTAAGTCTTCAGAGTACAAATGATGCCTGATTAAAGTATCGAAGAGTGAACATGTATCTGTCCCCATTGAAAATGGGAGATAGGGGACAGCAATCCAGGCAGTGACAACATCATTCAAAAGACTCTCTAGGTGATTCCAGGGCACTTCCTTTAATTTAAAAAATATATATAGTCTATACTTTTGTTTCTAAACAAATTAATTTTTTTAGATTTTAGTTATTCTCAGAGAGAAAGGAAGGGAGGGAGAAAGAAAGGGATAGAGACATCAGTGTGTGAGAGAAACATTGATTGGTTGTCCCTTGCACTTGCTCCAACAGGGGACCTGGCCCACAACCCAGGCATGTGCCCGGACCAGTAATTGAACCAATGACCCTTTGCTTTGCAGGTGACATCCAACTAACTGAGCCACACTGGTCACGGCTGAACAAATAAATATTTAATACAAATCCTAGGCAGCAAAAGTAAAAAAAAAAATCTCATAAATGTAACACTTTTCAGAAAGATGCAGGATGTGGATTGACAACGGACTGAACTAGGAATGGGAAGGCCCCATTCACAGATGAAGATGCTGAGGCTCGGAGGCAAAGATCACTCAGAAGAAAGCGATGGAACTTGCCCCTTGCCGATCTGCCTTCCTGTAGCCTAGAACCACAGAATTCTGCCATCATTGCACAAATCCTTGCTGTATCTTACTTTGCACCAGAGGCAGCCTCTGGTGAGAGGTGCTATGCAGAGGGTGGGGACAGAGTCAGGACCAGCCTGCTGAGGGGCTACAAGTACCTTGCTGGGACCCATATGATGGAAGGGGCCAAGCTGAATGTTGTGTCTAGAACAGAAGAAACAAAGAAAGGCCTTGAGGATGTGCCAGGTCATGCTGACTCCCTACCCTCTTTCTTTTTCCTTCTGGCCCACCTTAGCATCTAGCCATGCTTTATGCGGCCCTGAAAAGATGCTCTAGAACCTTGTAGGAGAAGACAGAGAATAGAAAAATAGGAAGAGAAGGTTTTTGTTTGGTTTTGGTTTTGTTACAGCTTTATTGATATACAAGTCCCATATAACATTGAGTGGTTTTAGTTTATTCACAGAGTTGTGTGATCATCAATAAACACTATCTAATTTCAGAACATTTTCATCACCTTCCAAAAAAATCCCTTATTCTTTAACAGCCACACACACACCCATTTCCCCCTATTCCCCCAGCCCCTGGCAACCACTAGTCAACTTTCTGTCTCTATGGATTTGCCTATTCTGGACTGTTCATACACATGGAATCATATAATGTGTGTCCTTTTATATCTGACTTCTTTCATTAAGTGTAATGTTTCAAGGTTCATGTATGCTGTAGCAGGAGCTGTTTCACAAATGGACAGGCTGATTGGTGATGGTTAAATTCATTCATTCCACAAATATTCACAGAGCGCCTACTATGTGCCAGCCCTGGCTGGGCCCAGCTAGAGACCCTGCCCTGGAGGGCTTCTTCTGGGGTAGAGAGACAATAAGTCAATGAAAAAGAAAATGATTTAGAATATTAGATGACAGCAGAAGCTAAAGGAAGGTGTAAAGCTGGAAGAAGGGTGAAGAGAGAGAGAATGCGACTAAATAGAAAAGTCAGCAAAGGTCTCATCCTAGGATGAACTTGAGGGGACTTTCCAGCTAAGACTGAAATCAGGTGAGAGAGCGAAGACGTCCTCGCGATGCCCCTCCAGCACTCAGCCCTTGGACACTTATCAGTTCCCCACGGCCGAGACCTTTCCTGTCTCGTCCACGCGTATCCCCGCGCCTGGCACAGTGGGGGACACCGAGTAGGTTTTTCGCGCGGCGTGATTGTGGCGATTCGGGGGCCGCCGGCCGAGCGCGACCCGGCCCACAGCTCAGCGCACACCGCCCGCCCCGGGCGCAGGCCCCGCCTCGGCGCCGCCTGAGCCCACCTCCTCTCGGCCGCCGCCATTGGCCGCGCGCGCCTCCGCCCTCGGCCTTGCACTTCCTGGCGGAGCCATGGCTGCGCACCGGTTCGGCCCCGGGGCTTCTGTGCCCGCGCCTCGCCGCCCCGCCAGGCCGGCCCCGCCGCCGGGGGTCCCAGCGCCGCTTCCGTAGCGCGCCTCCCAGGTGGGCCTCCGCTAACGCGCCTCCGACCCGGGACCGGCCGGGCGCCGCGCGCCGTAGGGGGGCGGGGGGCGGGCCTGCTTGGGGACGACCCCAGCCCCTGCTAGTGCGACCCCCGCCCGGCCCATCCGCAGCCTCCCTTTGTGCTGGGGGAAGGTGTGCGGCGGAGCTGGGGGAGCCGGGGGAGGGGCGCCGCCACCCCCGCAGGTGGGACAGGTGCGGCCTGTGCGGCCGGCCCCCGCGGCCCAGGTGAGTGTCCCCGCGTCCCGCCGCGGGCGCCGGCCCGGGTTTCGTCCCGACTCCGCCTTCTCCGCCTCCTCGTAGCCGGCTCGAGCCTGCCTGGGCGGCCGTTGTGCCGGCAGTTCCGCCAGGGGGTGCCGGGTCCGAACGAGCCACAGCAGCGTCCCCGGAGACCCTGCGGGCGACGGGTGAGTGCTGGCGGGCAGCCGTGTCCGTCTCCACGTTGTGTTTACCCGAGCGCTGAGGTCGAGCACGTTCAGGGTCGAAACCCGGGTAAGGAAGCTTGGAGAAGAGACTCCCTGGGGGCCCTCCCGTCCGGACGTGCCCTCTGTTCCCGTGTTTACGAGATCTTTTATGCATAACTGGGGATCGTCGCTGGCCTTGTGGATGGCCTTGATCCCCCTTGTCTGCTTCCAGAAAGCACGAAGGCAGCGGACACCCAACACTTGTAGAAATCGGCCGCAACCCACTTGCCCGGAGACAAAAGGGAACCTACACAAGGGGAAACTCTCTCTAGAAATCTTGGCCTAGAAAAGAAAGCTTTTAGCACTCAGGGCAAACGGAGCCTTGGCTGGCTGCCTGGAGTGGTGGAGAGAGGGACCTGCAGCTTTCTCTGGTGTGACCTTGGGTGAGCCCCTCCTCCACAGGAGCCTAGCTGTCAGAAGTGATGGTGCCAGCTGCCTCAGAGGGTGAAGGTAAACTAAGGAAGGCAGGGGTGTGCAGGAGGCACTGCATGAATGTGGTTTCCTTCCTTTCTCCCTCTCAGCCCCCAAACTGCTGAGGGGTCTGTCAGAAAGGACGGGTGGGTACAGCTGGCCATTGTCACAGAGTTGCTCATTTGTCAAGAGATGTCTAATCTCTTTCTTCCCCCAGGCAGCTGGACAGCATGGACTGTCCCCAAAGTTATTCCTTGGGAACACCGCAACCCCCTCTGTGTGTCCCCAATTATCTTGAAACAGTGGTGACTTTGTTTTGTTTTGTTCTGTTTTGTTTTTTAGCTGAAGGCTGTTTGTTCAGTAGGTAACAAATTGACTCTTCTCAACTCAGATAGCAGGGGGGGAAAATCCTCCTTAATACCCTCAGTCCCAGAATGTAACTTGTGCCCACGTTGCTGGCATAGCCCTACCTCTATGTGTCTCCTTTTCCCCCAGTCCCCCGAGCCTGGTTCTGTGCTGTCAGCGAGTTGCTTGGCATTTCAAAGCTTGCAGAAACCTTAACGTCATCTGGTACACCAGCCCATTTCACAGATGCGACCATGAGGTCTAGAGAGCGTAACATGCTTGTTTATCCTGGATGTTCCAAACAGGGCAAAGGCCCCAGAAGGTTTCCTGCCTGCACGCTTTTTTCTTTCTTTCCTTTTCTTTCCCTTTTCTTTTTTATGGCCAGGTAGAATAGCCTAGTGGTTAAGTACATGGAAGCCACTCTGGGTTGGAGTCCCAGCTCTGCCAGCTCCTTGCTGTGTGACACTGTCTAGTTACTTCCCCTCACTGCTATCAGTTTCCTCTGCCACAAACTGAGGAAAATAATAGTGCTGTCCTCATGGGATTATTGTAGGGATTAAATCAAGAAAGCACTTAAAACCAGTACCTATGTCTGGAACATGTTTTACATGTCATCCCTGCACCACATCCTTAACTTTGTCATGATACTGTAGAAGTATGACACTCTCAAAGACTGGGTCACAGTCAGCAGAGCATCGCAAAGAACGGCTCAGGTTTGGTTCACAGCCATTTACTAGCTTTTTGACCTTTAACTCAGTATCCTCTTCTGTAAAATGGGACAAGTGACATCAGCCTGCCCGAGGAGTTGTGGGGGTTAAATGAGACATGTAAATAAGTCCCTTAGCTTGGTTCCAGGGTCATTGTCTGGGCTCTGAAATGATAAGTCTTGTCATTATAACCTTGGTCTAGCCGAAAGGCCTATGAGAGATCAGACATCAGAAGGTAGGTATTTGTAGGAGGTAGTTTAGCTAGAGACATGGTTTTGTTGGATTTCAGATGCCAAAGGAACTCTTGTTGAATGTTCTGATTCTAATAACAACCTGGTACTTTCAACTCACGGTATAAGAGTTCTTTGTATTGATAGTACGCTGCTTTCTCCCCCTCTGTCGTCCGTGGGACTGCTTTCACCGTTGTCATTGCTATTGTCTAGCAGAGCCTGCAGTTAATGAATGACCTAGAGTCATTACTATCACTCTGTGCTCAGAAATCCTGTTCTTGTTGTAGGACTGTGACCTCTTTTATGATGGAGGGAAGCCGGCAGACACGAGTGTCTCGACCCTACAAGATCAGCGAATCTTCAAAGGTCTGTGAATGGTTGCTCACCACCTGTGCAAAGTGCCTAGGAAGGGTGATGTGTTTCTGATGTGCTCATTCTTAATGGACACACCAGTTTTCTGTTCTTGGTGGTGGTATTACTCTCCTTAGAGGCAGCACAGGCCAGGAGTGGAGGAATCATAACATCAGAGAACTGGGAATGTGATGGATGTTAGAGACACAACTCAACTCATTTATTTTGCACCTCAGCCCTGAGGTGGGTGGGTCAGGATAAAAACCATGCGATTGCCATTGCGCATTTGGGGGCTCAAAAACTCGAAGGACAAGTCCATTGAGAAGCCAGTGCCGACCTTACAGCGGTGGCAGGATGTTACATACTTGGATGTTAAGGGCCCGGATATTCCACCATCATGACTTTCCGGGGTCCTAGGAGTGCATGAGGGTGGCTTCCCAGGGCTGGGCTACCAACCTGTGTTATACTGCGTATCAAAGTCATGCTGGGAGAAGGTGAGGGGGAAGGTGTTTCATTAGAAATGCGTATCTGGCTTCACCCCAGACCTGTTCAACTAAAATCTGAGAGCTGGGCCTGGGAGTCTATATCTTCAACGAACTCCTCCCGGGCCTGGGAGCAGCCCCTGTCCCCACAGCTGCTATAAATAAGGATTCGGGGACCAGTTTCCGGGACAGTTCTTGCTTACACCTGCCTCTTTATACATATCAACAACACCATCTTTTCTTCTTTTGGAGATTAAATTTTATGGTTATCTTAGATCATCATTTTCAGGGAGACGGATATTTTCCCCAAGTGGGGGGAATTGGTTCTTGGGAAATGGAAAGACTTTTACTCTTTTTATGATTAAAACTCAGCTATGCATATAGTACATGCATAGATGAACAGATATATGTGGCGGTAACATTTCATGGGGGCTCTTGGGAAAAAATACCTTAAAAGATTTTAAAAAGGTTGAGAAAGACCCCATTAGATAAAGGGAGTTGTGAGCAGACTATAGAGTTGGAAAAATGAGAGAAAGAGGCTGTACAGATGTGCATAAAAGAAAAACGGGGTGTAATTTTCAGAAGAGGTTCGTTCTCCAGAGAAACGGTCTCCTATTTCCATTTGCATTTGCTGAGAAGGCTCTGCCAAGCCGGGCTTTATCTACTGTGAAAACCCAGAAAGGTCTCACTGCTGTCTCAAAGGGGCTTTGTTTCAGAGCTTGGCTGAGGAGACAGTATAGCTTTCTAAGTTTGATAGCGCTGGAAATCTTTGTTCCTGAAAGCCAGATTCTGAGTTGGTTTCTTTCTGAATTGAAGCTTTTAGGAGTAGGGTTCTCTTGGTTTATTGTATTTATGTTCCTAACTATAAGTGTACCTTGATTCTCTAGATATTAACACACTCATGTAGTCTGTACCCAGAATAAAAATAATAATTGCCAAACCCCTCTAGTCCCTACATTGCCACTCTCCCAACTTCCAAGACTGCAGGTTTGCCTGCCCTTAAACTTTACACAAATGAATCAAAGGGTAGGTGCTCTTGTGTGCCTGGCTCCTTCCGCTCAGCATTGTGCATCTGAGACTTGCTGCTGCTGCTGCTGCTGTGCGTAGTGGTAGATTGCTCCTTCTCACTGCAGCGGAGTGTCCTATTGTATGACCACCACTGTTCCTTTATCAACTCTAAACTGTGTTGATCCATTTTGATGCTGAGTTCTTTTTTAACATGAAATCCCCCATTCCTGCTGCGTCTGTCCAATGTTAGCTCCTGAGTACCTGTGTTTCTTCACCTGCCTTGCCTTGCCTTGCCTTTGATAAAATCGTTGACGTTAAGAAACGAAGGAATAAACAAGGTTCATACCAGCAGAGAGTGTTGGGGGCCGGGGATCTGAAATAATATGAAATGCTGCGACTATGTTATTGATGTCCCTCTAAGATTGGGAAATTATATTTGTCTATTTTTTGAAAGTTCTCATCTCTGCAGCTACATTAAAATAACCAGAAACGGGCTGTAATCAAGACCCAGGTACTGAATTAAATGTGCCTACTTAGCATGGAGACCCAGCTTTAGAAGCAGCACTGCCCTCTTCCCTGTCCTGGCTCACTGGAGCAGATGGCTCCCCCTGGCAGCTGTCATCCGGGGCTTTCCCTGATCCCTGCCCCCTGGGGCTGTTTCCCTTTTTACCCAGCAGCCTGGGGTCATGCGTATCCCCATTTAAGTGTGGAGTCCCAGCACCCCCATGCTCTTGGAGACAACCAGGGGCTCAGGGTGAGCAGACAGCCCACCTGATGCCCCTCACTTGCTTCTCTCGGGACACTGAGCCTTTACTATATTACAAGACAGCCTGCTGCTGCAGTGCTTTTTAATTTCCTTTCTTCAATCCACACCCGAGAGGGGCCCCAGGCCAGTGTGTGTTGGAGCCCAGACCATTCCTTCTTAATTGGAAGCCAAAGCCAGGCCAGCCTGGCACTCTCTGCTGCTAATCAGAATAAACGGAGCTATACATGTATGGGACCTAGGAGAAACCGTCCTCTAACAGAAGAGCAGCCGTGTCTGGTCCTCTCAAGTTGGAGGGGAAGGAAGCTTTAGGCAGTGTCTGTCTGGTGTCCTCATCAGAATGTGAGGTCCTTGCCCACTCCTATAATGTAGAGGGAGCAATTGATGTTGGAATTAGCCAGATGAGGCAGAAACACAGGGAAATAAAGGACCTCGATTACAGATGTGTCAGAAGCAGTAAGGAGCAGCTGTGGAGGGGAAGAAAGAAAGGAAACCCATTGCTCCAGGACACACGTGGACAAGTAACCTGTAAGAATTCGGCAACCTGTAGGCCAGCCACACAGCCGCTCACAACTACTACGCCCTCAGTCCATGTTCCTCTCTACCACCATTTCCCCTTCCCGGGCGTAGTGCCCCGCCAGCCCTTTCCCTCCATTGCCCTCAAATCGACCAGCTCCCCAGCTGATACTTCTGAATGCCTGTTTTTCTCTATATTGAATTTTCTTGTTGTTTTTATAGTGAGGAAATCAGGAAGTGCTCAGTATCCTGAAAGCCAAAAGCATAATTAGTCCTCCAAGGATTTAGAAACTATTATCTAGGTCTGACATATTTTTGTATCCTCAAAAGCACATGGCAGGCATATAGCACTCAATAAATAAGTGCCTGCTAACTTAAATTTATGGAATTAATTTGTATTCATTATTCATATTAATTGATTTGTTAGTCCAGTGTAGCATGGTGACTACAGGTTTGAGCTCTGGAATCAGACCTAGGGTTCAAATCTCACTCCTGGGCAGTCACTGTGGGGCTTTGGGCAAGGTTCTTAGTCTCTGACATTTTTTTCTCATCTGGAAAATGGGGATGATAATAAAGGTCTCTTGGAGGTTTTTTGTGATGCCCGAATAAGAGTGCATGTCAAGTGCACACACAGTGCAGGGTACATATAAGCCCTCAGGAAAATACAGAGTTTTTGCATTTTACATATACTGTATCCCTTTTAACCCTGGCAGTTTCTGGAGTAGGACCTCCAGAGCACCTTAGTTTGGATCGCTAGAAATGGGTGTCTCTGTAGCATGACCACGTGCCTTTCGAAGGCTCGGAGAAAGCTGCCTTCCTTGGCACAGAGCCTGGTGGGGACCGACAATCACTACAGCTTCCCTTTAGCAGATTCTTTGCCATGGCTCTCTCATTAACAAGCCCTCCCCCCACCTCCGGTTCCCTGGAACCCGAGTGGTGACTACTTGCATCCTCACTTGTGAGATGAGGAAATGGAGGCTCAGAGCCTCCTCTTGGCTCAGCCCAGATCACACCGCTGACAAGTGGCAGAGCCAGATGCAAACCTTGATTCTGTTAGACTTTAGAGGCTACATCTGGAGCCACTTCCCCATCCTGACAGGACAGCATTTTTCAAATCTATTTGCTCATGACCCACAGGAGGAAAGGGAGGGAGGGAAGAAAGGAAGAAAGAAAACTTTTAGGAATTTTATTTAGAAAGGAGAGAAATGAAGAGAAGAAAGAAGGTAGATTTTAGGAATTTTCATTATAAAGAAGGAGAAGAAGGAACGAAGGATATAGATAATACACGTACATGCACACCCCCTTATTTCCTGCAGCACACTCACTCTTATTTCTCATTCTCCTTCATTCCACTGTACTTAAAATGCTGCTCGTGTCCCACTAGACTGACTCCTGCAGCTGTGGCGGGGGTTGGGGGCGGGTCGGTGCGGCATTTTCCAGGTGCAAGCGGGTGCTCTTCCACAGGTGTACCGCTGGGCTGAGCACTCGACCACAGTGCTGCAGCGACTGAATGAGCAGCGTCTACATGGCCTCTTCTGCGACATTGTCCTGGTGGCCGACGAGCAGCGTGTGCCAGCGCACCGCAACCTGCTGGCCGTGTGCAGCGACTACTTCAATTCCATGTTCACCCTGGGCATGCGCGAGGCCTTCCAGAAGGAGGTGGAGCTGATTGGTGCCTCATACATTGGCCTCAAGGCTGTGGTGGACTTCTTGTATGGCGGAGAGTTGGCGCTAGATGGCGGCAACATTGACTACATCCTGGAGACGGCCCACCTGCTGCAGATCTGGACGGTGGTGGATTTCTGCTGCGAGTACCTGGAGCAGGAGGTAAGCGAGGACAACTACCTGTACCTGCAGGAGCTGGCCTCCATCTACAGCCTCAAGCGGCTGGATGCCTTCATCGATGGCTTTATCCTGAGCCACTTCGGCACGCTGTCCTTCACGCCTGACTTCCTGCAGAACATCTCCATGCAGAAGCTGTGCGTCTACCTGAGCAGCAGTGAGGTGCAGCGGGAATGTGAGCACGACCTGCTGCAGGCCGCCCTGCAGTGGCTGACGCAGCAGCCAGAGCGCGAGGCCCATGCCTATCAGGTGCTGGAGCACATCCACTTCCCACTCATCCCCAAGAACGACCTGCTGCACCGTGTCAAGCCAGCTGTGTGCTCACTGCTGCCCCGGGAGGCCAACTGCGAAGGCTTCATCGAGGAGGCCGTGCACTACCACAACAGCCTGGCAGCCCAGCCAGTCATGCAGACCAAGCGCACGGCGCTCCGCACCAACGAGGAGTGCCTGCTGTTTGTGGGTGGCGAGGTCTCCGAACGGTGTCTGGAGCTCAGTGACGACACCTGCTACCTGGACGCCAAGAGCGAGCAGTGGGTCAAGGAGACACCCCTGCCTGCCCGGCGGAGCCACCACTGTGTTGCCGTGCTTGGGGGATTCATCTTCATCGCTGGTGGCAGCTTCTCGAGGGACAATGGAGGGGACGCAGCGTCCAATCTTCTTTATAGGTATGACCCCCGCTGTAAACAGTGGATCAAGGTGAGATTAAAGCCAGATTCTTTCTTTACTCTTGAGGACTTTTGATCTCTCTAACCTAGCCTTGACTGCCCCTCCCTTCTCTCTGACCTTGACCAGTTCCTGCTTCGGAACAAGGTGTGATGATAAAGTGGCGAGCCACCTACTTCCCACCCTCCCCTGTGCCAGCACCCTCGTTGAGGGGAGTGAGGGCTGACCTTCCACAGGGTCAGTCCAGAACTTTCTGCACCAACAGCTATCTGATATGGTAGCCACCAACAATTTGTGGCAGCTGAACTCTTGAAATACAGCCAGTGAGACTGAAGGACTGAATTTTCAATTGGATTTCACTTTTAACTAATTTACATTTGCATGTAAATGGCCACAGGAGGCTGGTGGTGACCTTATCAGATAGCACCAGTCTAGAGATTTGACCCATAGTTTCAAGCACTCTTCCCTGTGGCTCAGAATCTCAGCCAGACTCCTCTTTTGGAAAGGTTTGGAGCTGGTTTAAGTAGGCCATGAAGGCTCACACCTTTGGCAGGTGTGGTGGCTAATTCTGGGAAGAGCACAGGTCTTGGCGTCAGACCTGAGTTCACATCCCAATTTGGGTAAATCGTAGCCAGGAATTTCAGACTAGTTCCTGGCCCTCTCCACATTTCAGCTTCTCCCTCTGGACTGGGTGGAGGGACATTGACCTTCCAGGGTCAGGGGCTGTAGCTCATTTTGATTGGCAAGTGCCTGGCAGAGGGAAGGTGTTCCCTTTCTCCCACAAACTCCTCTCCAGACCACATCCATTAAACTCGGTCTCAGTCTTTGTACTCATACCTCAGTGATTTTACTTAACTTGGTGTTTTTCTGAGCTCAGAACTCAGAACAGACTCTGATGATCTTTCGCTTTAATTCTCAGAAATCTAAAACCACCCACCAAGAAGTAAGTGCTGCCACTAGAAAGAGGCTCCCGGCTTTGGAGCCCATCCTCAAAAGCTTAGTGGCCACAACAGCCTGAATGTGTGGTCTCCTGAGGGACCGTGTTTATTTGTGTGTTCTGCTTGGATTATTTAAAAAAAAAAAAAAAAAAAAGTTGGGTCTTCTGCTTTTCAATTTCCTCTTGAGTGCCACTGTTTGCCTAACATGGATGGTGATGAGCATTAATTTAAAAACTATCTGATGGAGGTAGCAAGAGGAAAGAAGAATTTTTATTTCAAGAAATCACTAAATCAGCAGTTATGAGCTGTGTGTCCTACAGAATTCAAGTACATGAGGCTGGCCACATGGCCAAACAAGTTTGGGGAGCTGTTGTCTTCCAAACCCTTCTTGGGGATTTGCAATGTCTCAGGGGTCCTTGGGGACTCTGAGAAGTCCCTCCTAAAGAACCTTCATTCTCAAAGTTTGACTCCCTTCCCCCAGACTCACTTGGCCACTGCCTCGCCTTTCTAGTCTGAGTGTTCCATAGGACACCTTTGAGAAGTGATGCTAGATGTTGACGCTGTCCCGGGTTTGGGGAAGAGAAGGTACAGGTGTCATGCCTTCGCAGGTGGCCTCCATGAACCAGCGTCGTGTGGATTTCTACCTTGCCTCCATTGAAGACATGCTAGTGGCCGTCGGTGGCCGGAATGAGAATGGAGCTCTCTCTTCAGTAGAGACTTACAGTCCCAAGACCGATTCCTGGTCCTACGTGGCTGGCTTGCCAAGGTGATTGGGGATTTTTGTGGCAAACTTCAAAGGTGACAACTTTTGGGTCCAAAGGTGACAACAGTTCAGTCCACCTCTCTCTCTGGATTTTCTGCCCTCTAATTCCAGGGGAAATCTCCTTGCTTGTAAATGACTTGGTAGATCGTGAGGGGCAGGGGGCTTGCTGGTGGCCAGTCAGGGCTCCTGTTCTAGGCCGACTGAGTGCAAATGTCAGCTCTGCTGCTAAGACAACCATCTCTCAGTTTCTGAGCCTGGTTACTTCCGGAGTTCCCGGTGTAGGCGACCACCACTGCAGAACCATGCAGGAGAGTTTCCCTGCCCTAAGGTCCCTTGTGCTCCACTCCCTGGTCCCTCCCCCTTCCTCTGAACTGCTGGCAACCACTGACGCTTTACTGTCCCTATAATTGCGACTTTTCCAGAATGCCTTATGGTTGGTACTTTGTTTCATCCCCCATTGGTTATGGAATTTGATCAGGTGCATATGTGTGCCTCCATAGCATGTTGTTGCTGTTTTCAGCCCTTATGAGCAGCCTTATAGTTGATGCCTGTTTCTCAGGTGGGAAAATGGAGACGGGGCAGAGCTGGGAATTCTTGCCCAGGCAGTCTGACTGCAAAGCTGACTGTTTACCCGCCCTGCCTGCTCTGCCACTTCCTGTGCAGTGACAGCTGCCGTCTATAAAGTGTTCACAGGGTACCTGCTCCCTGTGTTATCCCCTCAAATCCTCACAAGCCTCTGAGAGGGCAGGCTGTCCCCTTGTGCAGAGGAGAAGACTGAGGCCTTGGCTCATGGAGGCCCAACCCAGGGCAGCGCTGAGCCCCCTCATTGTCTCTTTGTCCATCTGTTCATCTCTCCACAGGTTCACCTATGGCCACGCAGGTACCATCTACAAAGACTTCGTGTACATCTCTGGGGGCCACGACTACCAGATCGGCCCCTACCGCAAGAACCTGCTGTGCTACGACCACCGGACGGACGTGTGGGAGGAGCGCCGGCCCATGATCACAGCGCGCGGCTGGCACAGCATGTGCAGCCTGGAGGACCGCATCTACTCCATTGGGGGCAGCGACGACAGCGTGGAGTCCATGGAGCGCTTCGACGTGCTGGGTGTCGAGGCCTACAGCCCACAGTGCAACCAGTGGACCCGCGTGGCCCCGCTGCTGCACGCCAACAGCGAGTCAGGCGTGGCCGTATGGGAAGGCCGCATTTACATCCTGGGCGGCTATAGCTGGGAGAACACGGCCTTCTCCAAGACGGTCCAGGTGTACGACCGCGAGAAGGACAAGTGGAGCAAAGGCACTGACCTGCCCAAGGCCATTGCCGGCGTGTCCGCCTGCGTCTGCGCCCTGAAGCCGCGGCTGGAGGACAAGAAGAAGAAGGGCAAGGCCAAGAGGCACCAGGACCGGGGCCAGTGACCCGGCCCGTGCCTGCTGAGGCCTTGTCCCCACTGCCACCTCCCAGAGTGTCTGTAGACCAGCAACAACTTCCTAGAACCCTGGAACCATTATGCACCACTTAGCAGCTTTTTTTTTACTTTTATGATTTTTGGTATTTCTATGATATCACTGTAACTGATTAAATATTCTACGTAACTTTACATATTATCTTGCTTGAATAATCCAGACAGGAACTATCCCCTTGTGTCTGCTCAGGGCTTCTCCCCACATTACAGATCTTTGGGGGTCCTCCCAACCATCACCTTGAGAGTAGCTAGGGCCAGGGTTATGTGGAAGTTTTTGTAGTGAAACTGGAGGCTTTGGTGGGACATTTCAGGTCCTCTAGTCTGTGCCTCCCCAAACCTGGCTGAGTTTTTAAAAATGCGGATTCCTGGGCCCTGCCTGAGAATAATTGAATCTAAAACTACCAAGAGCGGTGGGAGGAGTTGCCAGAAACTGTTATAACCAGTCCCTGGAATGACTGAGCAGCAGCCATGTCTGGGAATCACTGGCAAGGTCAAGGGCAGTCGTTTTTATAAGTGTGGACACAGGGACCCCGAGAGGGTGAGAGAGTGACCAAGGGTCACCAGATCAGCAGACAACAGGTGAGACCTGGGACTTTTCACCTGGGAGGTGTTCCTGCCCCTCCCTAGGATTTTCGTATCCAGTGATTATTGTTTCTGAATCCTCTCAGTTTTCCTGGTTGGTAATCTTCCTGAAAGCTAACAGGGTATAGGTGATCAGGGAGGAAGTAGGGGGAAAGACATGAAGTTCTTTATAAATATTCTGTAATTTGCCCTTTTTTTAACATTTTCCTGGCGCCCACTGCTTCTGATGTGCTGAGCCCCCAAATCTACATTCACTTCTCAGGAAAGGAAAAGGGAGCACCCTAGCATTTGCCATTGTTCTCAGTGACTCCAGCTCCTAGAAGCATTGAAGGCTTTTACATGAGTGAGCGCACATTAATCCCTAAGAAGGCTGAGCATCTCCCCAACTCACCCACTCTAGTGGCAGGCCCTGGTCCCAGCCATCTGCTGCTGAGTAGTTTTGTGCTGCTGGGCAAATTCTTTAACAAGTCTTGAGCTGTTTCCTCACTCATTAAGTGACAGGCTTGGATGAAATAATGGCCAGGCTCCTCCCAGGGTTTCAGCTCTTTTAGTCTGTATAAGCTCTTAAAATATTCGGCACCTCCTTTTGAGATATGTGACTGCTGTGCACAGATTTCTGCAGTTACTAGAACATCAAGAGTATGTGCCCTTTAAGGAGACTAATGCCCAAGATGCTGTGTAACAAATACAATATGATGGGAGGAAAGGAATGTGTCTTAATTGTGAGCCAAAGGAAGCATTAATGATTTATACCTTGGCAGAGATTTGATGGAAGAGAGGAGAAAACTTCAAGATGTACTGTTAACATTGATAGTAGAATAAGAATCTCAGTTTATTTTATTTTATTTTGTGTTTCTTTACTTCCCTTCCTTTCCTTCAAGGCTTACCGCGATTTTGATGACAACCAGGAAAGCTGAGAGTGACTGGTGTTTAAAGCTTCAGTACCGAAATCATTGCCTTCTATTGCTAGTTGGGCAAGCAGCCTGCATAGTTAGCTAGTTCCTTGTATGTGGGAGTCCCTAGAGGCTTCCAAACTGTTGAGAAGTTCTGCAAGGCGTACAAACAAACAAAAAAACTATACTCTTCTTGTAGCTTGACAACCCTTTTGTGTATTAAAGGCTCTGAGAAGTCCTGCATTAACTATACTAACCTTCCATCAACCAGCATCTCTAAACTTCACTGAGCCGGAAACCCTTTTGTGTCTCATACCTAGTCTCAGCCCTCCACGAAATACATTTTGCAGAACTTCTATGAAATTCGGGATAGTGTAGACCCTTCCTATACCAGGAAAGTTTTCATCACTTGAAGACCCTTTACAAAGCATAGAAGTTATGGTCTTTTCTCCCCTGCTCAGCCCAAGTCATAAACTGAGTAGTGGTCAACTAGAACCCAGAGGAAGGTGGGGAAGAGCTCATAGACTATTCGTGCTCTGTGGAGACATGACTTTGACCTTGGGGAGAGGGCAGCCATCAGTTTTTAGCTTAAGCCAGCTGTATTTTTGGCTGCCAGGACGTGTCCCATGATGCAGGCCCCTGGCCTCTTTTCTGACTTGTGCCTTCGTTACTAACAATGCCCTGCACCGAATATTTGCTGATGTCTCTCATTCGCTGTAAAAGCAGTTTGTAATCTACATGGCATAGAAGCTAATTTTGATGTTGAGGGGACATTTCTTTAAAAGTAGACTTTGATAGATAAGTTTCCTCTTGTGGATCAACTTCAAATAATTGGTGGTGGCTCCACTTATACTAAGAAAGATTTTCAAGCTCATTGGGGTCAGTGCAAAAGAGCATCATGACCAATGAGCCTGGGCTTGGGAATGCAAAGTGGTGGGACCCATGGCTGGTTTTTGTTGTTGACGTTTCAAGATGGAAATCACTCCACCGCACAGTCCAACTAAGAATGGAAGAAAATGGTTTTGAACTCATTTTGGCAGAGCTTTGGGGTGCGCTTAGGCAGATGGCCACTTGAACTGCATAATCTTGAAGGTATTGTTTCAAACCGAAGCGACAAAGACCCAGAATCTTGCAGGTCGCCATCTTGAGTCAAAAACAGCAACATTTACCATTATATGATCAAACTCAATGCTTTAAAGTGAACTTTGAGAATATCTGGATCAGCTTTTCAGTTTTGTTTTATTTTTTAATTTTTCAAAATAAGGATGGTGGACTTTTATTCAGGTTTTCTTCTGTCACTTTTAAAGCACTAGAGTTTTAACTTCATATTAGTTGTAGGTTTTGAGTTTGATCTTCATCCAAGTTAGAACCCTGTTTGCTTAAGACATAATGGAATAATGGAAGAGGATAGAAAAGCTGGAGAAACCCTTGTTCCTTGTGGTGGTTTTTCTGCTGTCTCAGTAACTTGCTTGTATGGATGGCTCAATCAGTATTTTTAACATTCTGCCAGTTTAGATAGACTACCAGGTAGGACTTCTAGATCTTGAGCTGAGCAGAAAACTTCATGTATGTATTATAGTTTGAATGTTCCTCCCCCTGCCCCTGACTGATGAGGCGACCTGACCTCATGGTGACTTAATAGAAACCCCAGAAGCCAACCTTGAGGGGTGTTCAGTTTAGGGTGGGAACCCAAATGCCAAAAGGGGGTGGAGTCCCTCCCCTAAGGTCCAGGGTCTCACTCTGTGGGTTCAGGTGAGTTCACCTGTGGTTCAAAGTACCTGGCTACAAGTCCAGGAGTGACGTTTTGGTGATGTGAGCAATGTGGGATGGGAGAGGACCACCCCCCGCCCCCTTATAGAGTTACCGGCCTATCTCTACCCTGGTCCTCCATGGCATGCGCTTCGCCAGCTCCAACCTGAGCAGCACCTCACAGGCCTTTTAGCTCTTGGAGTTTTTAGCTAGATTCTCAAACTGCTGGTCCCTAACCTGGAGAGGCATTTCCAGCTGTGGCCTGGACATCCTCGCTGTCTCTGCAGATTCTGAGTCTTCAGAGGGCAGGGCGCGGTGTCCTGGCTTTTAGGACAAACCTCTGTAGTACAGGGCAGCTCCACAGGTACTTGGAGATCCTGCCAAGTGCGTCTGCCAAGACCGGCAGTTTTTAAATTTTTTTGAAATGTTTTGATACTTTTTGATACCATTTGCTAATAACCGTTTTGTAGGTTGCCTGCCGGGGTTTTCCACCTCACCCCTTACCCCCACTCCCTTGAGCTTGCACTAGCCAGCCAAGGTCCTGTGGTCAGTGCCGGGATATTGCCATATGGCTTTGTCTTGGATCTTGCTCTCCTCCATGGCTGTGATCTGATACAACTCTTGAATTTTGTAAGGTCACACATGGCCCCTGAGTATGATCATGACTGTCTTCGGCCCCCAACTGAGCAAGAAAACACTGATTTGCCAAGAGGACACTCTCACTCTCTGTAGATGTCCCACACTCCTTCCAAAGCTCCTACCTCAGCAGTGTGCACAGAGTTGGAAAGATACCTGAGGACAGATCCATAGATCACCTTTCTCATACGGGTCATTTCTCAACCCAGGGCAGGGCTGGGGTCCTGATCCAATCTCGTCCACCCCTCCTTTTAAAGAAATGTTAACATGAAATCTGTAACAGTGAACCATCCTGCACTTTATAGAATTATTACCCTCAGCATTGGAGGCTGTTAATTTCTTTGTGGGTTTTTTTTAAAAAAACATGGATAGAATTGGTGGCTTCTGAGGATGTTTCGGGGATCTCAAAAAAATTGTTTTTTGGTTGCCTTAGTTAAAAGAGTTGAATGAATGTACAAATTTGGTGGGGGGTGGAGGGAGGGCAGTGGGGGTTAAACATTGCAGGTCAGTTTTCGTTGAGAAAAAGAATTCCACCCCTTCAAAGTTCAAGCCATCTTTACAGGTTTCCTTGCAATTGAAGGATGAATAAAATCCTTCGGATCAATTGAAGTTAATCATTACCACCAGCCTTCTGTCAAAATTAGTAAGATATTTGACAATTAAGTAATTCATTGGGTATGTTCTGGCTACTAATGTTACCAAATCTGTAATCGTGTGTTTGTTTTTTAATTTGCTGCTTTTGTATTTGTAACTTTATGACACTGAAAGCTTTTCTGTGTCTATTTCTTTTTAATTAATTTCCTGCATGTTTTTTTTTCTTTAATTCTATACAGAATATTCAATTCTCAAAACACATTAAAATGATTTGCCTGCTAGGGTATGGCTTATTTTATAATTACATTCCTAGTCTTGTGTGTTTATTGTAATACTCTTTAGTCCTATTTGCTCTGCCCAAATAAAAAAGAACCCCTTGCATGTTGAGACCAAATATAATTTGGAAATTAACCAGACTGCCTTTTAGTGTTGTGGTATGCTGGGACATTTTGAGTCTGCTTTCATTGTGCTTCTAATTACTGTATTTTGCCAGGATTTAATTCAGATCCTTGATTGCAGCACTAAGTCCCTTGACCTGAAATGAAACTATTTGCTTGAATTTGTGTCAGTGGGGATAATTGGACTACAAAAGAAAACCAGAAGCCAGGGAAACATAGTTTATGACAAGCAATGTATTATCTTTATCAGAAAGATGCAATATCATCTCTATAAGAACAGACTTCATTTTATTTCCATTGGGGCCCAAGAAGAAGAGGGCATCCCTGCCCTGCTGTGGTTTTGCAAGGCCAGCAGACAACTGGGCTCCTTCAGCAGTTCAGCGCTGGGAGGGCGGTACCTGTTGTGACCATCTCACCTGGAAATGATTCGAATTTCCCTCTGAGCCAATGAGCTGCCCCAAACGGGACACTGGCTGCCAGATGCTAAAGTTGCTGGGATGCTTTCATTTCAACCTCAGAAGGATATTAGTTAGAAACGATAGTTTTCACCCTGACTGGTGTGGCCCGGTTGGCTGGGTGTCATCTCACAAAGCGAAAGATCGCGGGTTCAATTCCTGGTCAGGGCATGTGGCTGCATTGTGGGTTTGGTTCCCAGGTCGGGCGCATGTGAGAGGCAACCAACTGTTTCCCTCTCTCCCTCCTTTACCCTCTAAACATAAAATCATTTTCTTTAAAACAAAAAGAAAAAGAAATGCTATTTTCCCATTTTGGGGGTGATGAATCCAAGGTTAGAGTTAATGATTTTACCTACCCAGCTGGCTGGTGCTTACATTGCTCCAGGTTCTCTTGAATGCAGAACCTTAGACAAGGACTTGAAGGCAGGTGGTTTTTTGGGGGAAAGGCAGTCCTCAGGAAGCTGGAGAGAGGGAAGAAGAAAGAGCTGATAAGAATGTGTCTTATCTATTGCCAAATAAGTCATCCCCAAACAGTAGCTTAAAACCATAGTATTCAGTCATTTTTGCTGACAAATCTGAGGGTTGACTGGGTCAGCTAAGCAGCTCTCACCTGGGTCTCAGGTCCCCTCAGGCAGTGGCTCCTGGAAGCTCCCCCCAGGATGGGGCCTGAGTGGGGGACTGAGCACTGGGGCTCCTCAGGACCCCCCCCATCTCTCTCCCTCTGTCTCACCCTCCCACCCCCATCCCCAACTCACGCAGGCTCCTTTGGCCTCTCTCACGTGGTGGCCTTACTCAAACTCCTGTGCTCCTGCTCCCAGAACGAGTGTCGCAGATGTGATTAGCACAGCCAAGTAGCCTTTCCTAACCAAGCCAGGGAAGTCACAGAGGGTCCTGTTGCTGCATTCTACTCCTTGAGGCCATCACAAAGGTACCCCAAGTTTAGGGTGGGGGAGACAGATGGCATCTCTTGCTGGGGGAGTGTCAGCAAGCATGTTCCTGTGTCATCAACCAGAGGAAGGAGAGGGAGCATTTACCAGCCTCTATCTCCCTGGGCGGGGCTCTCCCAAAAACCTGGGTGCCGCCAACTCCTGGGCTGCTCTGTGCCCAGCCAGCTGTTCAGTGTCTGAGAGGCCTTGGGGCAGAATGGTGATGCTGTCAGGCCAGCTGGGCCTGCCCGGACCCGCCACTGAGGCTGTGGCGAGAATCAGAGCAGGACAGTAGCCCTGTAGCAGACACCAGAGGCACCCGCTATGTGTGGAGCTGGATTTTAACACAAGTCTGCCAGCTCAAGCCCCTCTCTGTCAACTACTGGGAACTGACCACCGTTGAAAGTCCTCACGGGGGGATTGTATCTCCAGAAGGCACCCTGTAGGATGCAAATATGTGAGGTTAACTAGGGGAATGCTTAACTTTCACTCAACAATCAGCCAAGATTGCTGCCCCTAACTCACATAGGGCAGGGAGGCAGCAGGTACAAGGCAGGTAAGTCTGCAGGAGCCTCGGGTCTGGAGAGAGGACCAAAACCCATCTCTCCAGAGCCCCACACACACAAGGGCCTCCCTGCATGTCAGGTGAGGCCGGGGCCATTGTAGGACCTGCCCACATCCTTGAATTAAGACCAGCTCATCTATCAGCTTCTCTGTGGAGGTTGCCAACTTTAGGGTCACGAAGGAGACACATATTCACTAAGGGTCCACTCTATGCCCAGCAGGCTCTGCTGCAGATGCTGGGGATACACTGGGGAACAAGGCAGCAAGGCACCTACCCCATGGGCTGACTCCTCATGGGGAGAAACAGACCCACAGACACAGGGCAAGCAGGGATATAGGTCACATAAATAGACTAAAACCCATCCAACTGTACACTTTACATGGATGAATTTTGTGTATGTGAATTGTATCTCAAAAAAGCTTTTTTTTTTTTTTAATCTTTGGGGAGTGTGCATAGCAGGTGAGAGGAAGAAAAGGCACTGGGTGCGAAAGTGGTGAGAAATGAGAGTGGGGGACAAATCACAGAGGGAAGGGACCTGATTCCCATCCTCAAAGGCATGATGTGTTGTCTGCAGCCAAGAGGGGGAGCAGAGGCAAAGGGAAGAAGGAGGGAGACCCTGCTGTCAGGAGGCAGCAGGAGGACCTGCCTTCATCTGCGCCTGGAGGAAGCTGGCCAGGGGCGGAGACTGTCCCAATAAAGTCCTCCAGGCAGCACACCGCAGCCGCCCCAGTCACAGACTATGCCTGGACTTGGTGGCTTTAAGCAACAACTCAAATAAAGAGACAGGACCCAGCTAGGAGATTCTATTGCTCCAGCTGGGGTCTCTTGGTGGTACAGCGTCACTCACACGTCTGCTGTGGGGGGAACACAGGCCTCATCAGGGCCAACTGGGCACATGGCCTTTCCCACATGGCGGTCTCAGAGAAGTCTGTGGACTTCTCACTTGGCAGCTCAGTGCAACCCGAGACAATGTTCCAAGAGACAGGAAGTGAAAGCTGCCCGTGTCCTTTTTCTAATAAATAAAGTACACAATAAAGTGTACTCTGTGTGTGTACAGTTCTATGAATTTTAACAAATAGCCAAGTCATTATTCACTACAAAAATAAAAGCCCAGCAATGGATGAACGGATGAACAAAGTGTGGTCCAGCCATGGAATGGAACACTACTAAGCCACACACAGGAATGAAGCACTGATACATATGATGACATGGACTGACCTTGAAGACATTATGCTAAGTCAAAGAAGCCAGACACGTAGAGCCACATATTGTATACTTCCATTTATATGCAATGGCCAGAATAGGCAAATTTATAGGAACTCTGAGTAGATTAGTGGCTGCTTAAGTCTGGGGTACGGATGAGAGGGGTGGGGAGCAGTAGCTAAAGCGTATGGGGCTTCTCTTTGTGAGGATGAATATGTCCTCAACTCGACTGTGGTGATGGTTGCACACATCTGTGACTACACAAAAAATCATGGAATTGTCCACTTTAAATGGGTGAGTTGTATGTTATGTGAATTATCCCTCAAAAAAGCTGTCTACAATACTGCAGCAATAATTCACCCCATTTTCTAAGTCCTGTGAGTTGATCTCCCAGATAGCTATGGGCTGAGAGCCAGGATCTCCCTATTTGGGTTCTAAAATTGGGGACAAAAATTGGGGCCCGCTATGGGAGCAATTCTGTGTGTGCAGACCTCAGGAGACCCTCCAGGGGCACCCTAGAGAAGTGGTCCTCAGAAGCAGCATAAGCATCATAGGAAACTTGGCAGACATCCAGATTTGCAGGCCCCGCCCAGATCTGCTGAATCTGCGGACCCGCCCCAAGCAGTGAGTGTTTTCACAAGCCCCCCGGCGAGTCTTAGGCCTGCTCCATTGAGAACCACTGCTCACTAGGGAGTTCTGTCTTCTTCCTCCACCACAGGCCTTCCTGGGCTAAGAGTCTGCCAAATCTCCAACAGCTATGCTGGGTTTGCATTGGCCAAAACCTGAACTACAGGCTTCTCTCTGGCTAAGCACAACCTGATCCAGGGGGAGCTGAAACTTCTAGCCTGAAAGGCTAGGAGAGTTCTTGGAGCAAATCTCTGCAGGGCCACACGTGTACCTGCCGCTTCTCAGGGAAAGTGAACCATGTCTGTGGACTTCCTGTTGACAGGGCAGGAAGCCACGAGGCGTGACCTAACCCTTTGAATTGTCCCCAGAGTCTGCTAGTTGGGCAACTTCATGCTCTGCTCAATGGAGTCATTTTACTGAGGAAGCCACAATGGTGATTCATTCTCCCAGGGAGCCACGGCTCCACCCCATCAGTCATCTAAAGGTGCTAAAAATATGTAATTCCTATATGCAGTTCTGAACTACTAAGCATGTGATTGCTGTGGGCCTTTTTGGTTCCACACTGAGATTTAAGAGACCTGGATTCCTATCCAATGTTCATAACCAGTTGTCTTGACCAAGGCTTTGCTCAGTGTCTCCTGTTTT